AATTATTTCCAATTACACTTATAGTAATCTTACAGTAATTTTGAATTTAAGTAAACTATAAACACAACACAGGTTATCTTTATGGAGTTATTAAAACGTAAGTAGTAGCATTTTAAGATATTTTATGGTTTTCTTAATATCAGCTGAATGAGTATTATTTGAAGATATCTTCATTTTAAAAATATTTGTTAATTTTTATTTTATATTTGTGAGGATATTGCATGCATTTAAGTAAAGTGTACCATGTTTGTGAAGATGCTCATGGATTCCAGAAGACTATGTCCTGGAACTGGAGTTACAGCTAATTTGAATATTTAATCTCTTGAGAACATTTTAATGTTTACATTACATTGTTTAATGTTAAACAGTAAGTTTAACATTACTCTGGATAGTTTCATGTCAACTTGACAAGCTGTAGTCATCTGAGAGGCAGGAACTTCAGTTAAGAAAATGCCTCCACAAGGATTGACTATAGGTCAGTCTGGAGGGCATTTTGTAAATTAGTCATTGTTGGTGGGGTCACAGCTAGACTGTGGTTCTGAGTTCTATAAAATATCTGGCCAAGCAAGCAATGAGGAGTCAGCACGTAAGAGACGCCCCTTCATGGTCTCTGTATCAGCTCCTGCTATCAGGTTTCCGAGCTGTTTTAAGTTTCTATTCTGACTTCCTTCAATGAACTTCCTTCAGTGACTTCCTTCGCCAGTGATGTGGACGTGCAAGCCAAATAAAGTCTTTGTTTCCCAAGTTCTTTTTGGGCATAGTGTGTCTTCATAGCAATAGTAAAGCTAACTAAGCCATGAACTTAAAACTATCTAAATTTAATGCCTTCTTCATGCTATTCATTTCTTTTTTATACAATTGACAAAGCAAGCATGCAACAATATTTAAATATTTCAGTTAGAGTATCAAATGTGAGTACCCCAAATATACTTAGTCTTTCAGACCAAAGATCAGAATGCACTAAATATTTAGGAACCCTCTTAATTTAGATAGTAACACGCTGATTTAAAATACAAGTTTAGGATCATTGGAACTTAAAATAATTAAAATCGACATTTCATAATCTTATATAATAGTTTTTTCACAGATATTTTATTTTTATAGGAAGTGTTTTAATTTGCATGGAGCAATAAAATAGAGATAATGGACTAAAGGTTTTCTCAATGAGCTTCTAATGTATAATGCAAAGTAAAGACCTAGTTTTAATCTTGATCAATAACAGATTTCTGTGTGAATGAATTGTGGTCACTACTCTCCTTGTATTGAATATTACTTAACAACAGAATTCATCTTGTTCTAGAACTTGTTTGTTTACAAAGAGGAGATGCCCTACATATCCGGTAAATTGTTCCATTGACCAAATTGAATCATTTTGTGTGGAACATATAATAGTCAGACAGAGTAGTTGAAATTATTTATGACATAGATCACATAACTTTAGTTTTAATCCTCCTTGATGGATAGTATTTTATCCCTTGAGCCAATATAACTGTTATATTGTTGTCAGTGAAAATTTAGCAATTCAAGTCATAGATGTTTGACTTCTTACCTCCTGTACCCAATTTTTCAACCATCTTTTGGATCGGTGCTTCCTTCTAAAGTCCAGATCATGACTTAGTATAGAGCTTTCTAGGCTGATGAAATGGTTCAGCAGTTATAGTCCTTTTTTTCTAGAGGAGCCAAGTTCAGTTCCCATCACCTTTCAAGGACAGCTCATAACAATTATAACTTCATTTCTAGGATATTCAATACTTCTCTAGATTTCCTCAGAAGTACACACACACACACACACACACACACACACACACTGGCAACCTCTCTTTAATAAAAATAGATCTTAAAATTATGCGTCAAGAGAATAAGCAGAGATTACACTTTAGTTTCCTGTCTACCCAGACCTGAATTCGAACAATCACACAGAAACTATATTAATTACAACATTGTTAGGCTGCTGGCTCAGGTATATTTCTAGCTAATTCTTATATCTTAAATTAATACATTTCTATTAATCGATGTATCACCACAAGGCTGTGGCCTACTGGTTATGTTCTAGCATCTTTCTCCTTTGACAGTTTCATGGAATCTCCTCGATTCCATCTGCTTTGTTAATAACCAAAGGCAATAAAGTATATTCATAGAATACAGAAGAAAAAGATCCCCACATCACAGGAGTTCAGTCCATAATAAGCAAATTGCTGAGAGCAACTGATCGAGTGCGCACTCCCAAATGGGATGTCTTTATCAGTCCTAATCCACTGCTAACACCAAGGTTTAGAGAACACAGCAGAGAAGAGCAGAAGAATGTATGAGCTGAATAATAGGCCAGAGTGCCATGAAATAAAAACTGCTGGACTTGAAACAACTGTCGTACTCATGAACTCATACTAAATGGGGTTGCTTACACAAGGTCAAGACAGCCAAACTAGAATAGCCAACAGTGATAGTGGACATACCCTCCAGGACCACTCTTTACCGCGGAGCTACTGGGAGTTTAATAGCTGTTAGGAAGAGTCATTATTTTTTTGAATGTATTCCCACTTGTATGTTTCCAAGGCTATGGTGAATTATCCAGTACCCATGCAAATATCATGAAGATCAACAAAAAGAGGGAATGCAGTTGGGATTGGGTCTTATTAGGAGCAATGTAAGGGAAATTGATGATGGGAAATGGGGTGTGGATATGATACTATTATATATTACATAGTTTTTATGAATGAAATCATCAGTAATAAAAATATCATTAGATTTAACTCTCTTGCATTTCTTGAAGCAGACCTTAAGATGGTTTGAAGTAATCAAACAAAACTGGTTCAATCCACATGGAAAGTAAAGCTCTGAGAATGTCATCCACACCATGTCAAATCATAGTCTCTGTGGCTATTCTTACTTTCAAAGAAAGGAGCGAAATGTAATCTTTGTTTTTAGTGTATAAATTTCCATATGAAAACTCCCCACTCTGTTACCATACAGAAAGAAAAAGATGGTTTTAGCATGTATATACTATTATTTCAAGCCTGGTATAATCTTTCTTGGAAAACTAAGTTAGATTTGTTGAAGGTTTGAGACCCACCTAGATAACAGGGAATTTCATATAGCCTATGCTATAAACTCTATCTAAAAATAAATGATTTCAGGGAGAAATAGTCTGTATTGTGACAAAGTATCACAGAGTAGGGAACTTACTTTAGTAGCATTTACCTTCTCCCATATCTGCAGGTCAGAAATCTAAACGATAGGCATCCGCAGGTTCATATACCTGTTGAGATTCAGTCAGCATCTTCCCTTGCCTCTCTCCAGCTACTAATAATGACTGTCAGTCCATGGCATCCTTTGCATTTTAGATGCTTCATTCCAGCTTTGCCTTTATGATCACAGGGCTGCCTTTCTAGATAGCTGCACTGCATGGTGCTTCCTCTTCTGGGTGTGTGAATGTCTGTATGTGTAGTATGTGCACATGTGCGTGTAGGTGTGCTCAGACGTACAAGTACACGTGGAAGCCAGAGGCTGATGCCACCGTGTCTGTATTAGCCACTTTCCCACTATTTATTTATTTATTTATTTATTCATCTGTTTGTTCATTTATTCTAAGACCAAATCTCTCACTGAACTTTGAGTTCTTGCCATTTCAGCTCATAGAGAGAAAGATTTACAGTAGTTATGGTTTCTGAGGGTCTAGTCTATGGTTCTGGGTGCCTGTGGTGAGTCATTGCAACATATCACTCTTGAATTGGATAGGAATATCTCTCTATAGGTTTTGCCTACTGTTTAAAGTTTCCACAACTTCCCAGTAGTGCTGTGGATTAGATCTATAATCATCTTCAATTTTTTTACATTAAAATGTTATCATTTTTGGTGTAATTACTAGAAAAACAGATTTTAAGATAGTCTTAAATGCTAAGACTATTCCCTCAAGACTTTTTTCTCCTGTCCACCCCTGTGAAAATAACACCAGGCATAGTTACTTGTCATTTCTATATACAGGACATACAATTGTATATGTGGCTTTTCTTTCAATCTCTGCCGCCAGCATATTTGAAGTTATTTGTGCTTTACTATCGGATATACTAATTAACTTACTTAAAGAAGATACATTTAAAATACAGCTTTTAAATTATTCATTAATATTGTAAGATTTACATTCCAATGTTTTAGCCTAAGGAAAACTGACCAGTATGTTAAATGGTAAGGACTGTATAAATACCTCTGCTGTGAAAAATAACATTAAAATCTGAGGATGAAAGGGAAAATAGATAACACTACAGACAAAAAACAGACATGTATATGTGTACATTCATGGACTTACATAGAACAAAAACAGGGTTCCACCAATCAAGTATGCATGACTAATATATTTACAAACAGAACGTTATGCTTTTGAACACTCAAGAATATGTATGTGGATGACTTGGTTATGGTCAGCATTTTATTACATATCTTATTTGTAGCATAGTTATAAAACATTTCAAATCAAATTGCTTTAAAAATTTTAAAGATTGCATAATTGAGGTTGGTCTGCATTTGCATATTTATATCACTAAGATAATATACTGGGACAGCTTATTGTACAGTAGATAGTAAATAACTTTTTAAATATTGTTACTTTCATCTTTCAGTTTTTTAATGTGTAGATAATTACTTTATCAGAAATTTGGGTAGACAATAAATCTTAAAGAGAACCATATATAAATGAAATTAAGTCTTTTTCTCTGCAAGCTTTTGTATAAGCACAGCAAATGTGATTATTACAAGTATCCCTTTAAAAAATAAATTGAAGAATTCCATGGAAGCCACTCTTTCTTCTTCTTGCTTGACGTGTGCTATTAAACAAAACAAAATTAAGTTAATTTCTCTCTGAATGGGTGATAGTCTATGACCCTCAACCGTGTTTTAAATATCTTGAGTTGGGATAAACAATTCAGTAGTGCACTTTGTGTAAGAGAGTGTCTTTGTTCATGTCACACACAGGTTATATAACTATAGGTGCATCTTTGTCTTTTCAGTGTGCGCAGGAACAGAGAATAAACTGAGCTCTCTCTCTGACCTGGAACAGCAGTACCGAGCCTTGCGCAAATACTATGAAAACTGTGAGGTAGTCATGGGCAACCTGGAGATCACCAGCATCGAGCACAACCGGGACCTCTCCTTCCTGCGGGTACAGCTATTTCTTTTTCTCTATTCTTTTTGAGTGGGCATGATGTCATAGCGTGCAAAGCGAGTCCTTCTAGATTAGACATGGTAACTCTACTCTTCTGCCAGGCAGAGTCTGTGACTGTAGGCAGAAGATAAGCAACAGGAAGGGAGGCACCTGCAGGAAAAGAATAGGAAAAGCAATGCCAAAGTGACTGACGACTCACGTAGATAGCTGCTGTCACCATTAGACTGATAAAAGGATTCTGTCATGGTATAGAGCAGGACACACTGCAAGTCCCTCTTTTCCTGACAGGATGCAGACTAAGAGAGTCAGAGGACTAATCAGATAAGAGTGGGTGGCTTCAGCTTCATCTCTTTTCTGCCTCACTTCTGTCACTTGGGGAAGAGGACAATGCAGACAGCAATAGTGTCACTCCTCCTAATTCAGGTCAATGCCATTTCTTTTGAAACTGTAAGCAATCTAAGGTAAACTCAGAAGAAATCACAAATAGATGATACATCTATGTGTTATCTATGAAAATTACATAGCAAACGTGACTTTCTTTCTAGAAAGATAAAGCCTTAGAAGACTCAACGTCTGAGTTCTTAGCTCTTATTTCTAAAATGCAGTGTATAGAAACTATCCTAGGCCACACGTAAATAACTGAATGATGCTGAAGTAGAGGAAAACTAAAGGAGAAAGCAAAAATAGGGGCAATGGAAATAATTAGTCCACCAGATCCAAAGAGCGCGAGAGAGACGAGGAATGCCCTGTAATAACTGCGCGAACGTCTTCCGTGTGTTTCACTTGATTTGCGGTATTGCTAGGATTCATTGAAAATAAAAAGTGTGTGTTTGTGCACATATGCAGCTATACATACCTATATCATATATGTCCTTTAAATAATGCAATGTGAAAATATTTATAATTGTGTAACCCTTATAATCTTATAATGAAATTATTGACCCATGATAGCATTCTTTCGAATTTTATCCTCTAGAATATGAAAGATATATATATATATATCCTCTAGAATATGAATGATATATATATATATACTCAAATGTATATATATATACATGTTTGTACAACATGGGTCTAAAATTCTTAGGAAATATGTTGAACTCAATATAGTGAATGTGTTTGGGAAAAGTAAAATAAACCAGACCAAAATTTCTATGTGGAATTAGAAATAGTTTCTTACTGGTTCCTAAATAGCCTTTGTTAACGCTTATAAATTTTGTGCTAACCCATACACATCTGTAACTTTGTTTTATTATACATAATTTTAATAATTTTCCTTTTACTTGTTAATGTATTCTGTTCATATATCTTTTGTTGTTCTATAATACAGTCTTAAATGTGACATATATTTATTGTTTAAAAATAATCTTAGCTCATCTATGATAGCAAGTAATGCTTCTTGACTTCAACTTTGTAGACACCGAGAACACACATCTAAATAAATCACATATGACTCCTACCTACAACAAACAGTGCAGTGGAAATGAAGAAAAAGAATGAGGGTAAAGTAAACTATTGCATTGGAACACTACTGAGTCTAGTGAGGAAAACATTTAGGTTATGTCAGCATTCAAGTGACATTTAATTAGATCAAATTGTCAAGGACATTAAACAGAAAAAAAATTAACCAGTGGGCCAAAGGTAGAAATTTCCAGAGTCTCATTTTGTGTTCTGTTCCTTAATGAGATAAGAATAGTGACTATGAAAGAGAGACAGCAAAGCAAGGGGGGGAGAAGGAGAGAGAGGGAGGGAGGAATGTAGAAAAAGAGGGAGGAAAATAGAGAAAGAGAGAGAGACAGAGAGAGACAGAGAGACAGAGAGAAAGAGAGAGTTATTAGGTTACTAGGTGACATGTTATTTAAAATTTTATTCTGACATATTCTAAAAGCCTTCTTCTAATTTGGAATTTTATTTATTCTTAAAATCACCTTCTGGCTGATGTGCCCTTACAGTAACTTTCTCATCAGATAACTGACCAGTAATGACACATTAGAAACAGAACCCAAGCAATGAAGAACTTCTTTTTTTACGTCATGCTACCCTTCCCTATAAGTTCTAAATTGTGGAGACTAGTTGGAAAATCATGCCAGTCGTTGTCTTTGTTCACATGGCCCTTAGATGTGCTCGTGTGATTATGATTTATAAAACAACTTTTCAAAGATGTTCTCAATTTCCATTCTGGAAGAATAGCTTAAATCTATCATGCATATGGAGAGGGAGGCATAATAGGTATAAATTTTTTCTGGATCCTTTCCTGTCTTTAGGAGCCACAGAAATTATTTTGGCTTTAGAGAAATGTCCCACTCTTATTTCCATGTCATAGCAGCATGGTGGTCGTGTTCTGACATGTTTTCTCTTTTTTCTTTCTGAAAGCACTACCCGTTCTGTGACTTGTGTTACCCACAGGCCATGTCAAATGTATTTCATATCTGAGCAGTAGATATTTAGAAAAGTACCTAATGTGAAGCAGGCGATTTGTTCACTAAAGAATCAATGGGTATGCTTCTGTGTAGCATATTTGTGTGTATATGTTTGTGTGTTTCATGCATGTGCAGGTGTGTACAGATGAATCCATATACATATGCCCATGCAAAAGCCAGAGGCTGACCTCAGATTGCTTTTTGACAATGTTTTCTTGAGACTCTGTCTCTTACTGAAACGAGAACTCACACTTTGGCCCAATGTCACACCAGAGATTGTTCTTTCCCAGGCCCCTCATTGCCAGCATTACACTTTGCTATGCTCCACTCAGCATTTAGTGGGTACTCAAGTTTAAATGGTTTCTCGTCCTTGCCTGGCAAGACTGACTGAATCTCTCCTTATCCCCACTAAATAATTTTTTAAACTATTAATCTGTTATAGAGCTTTCTTTAATGGTAAAATGTTCTCTAGACAGCATGAAAGTCTCTCTTGATAGTCTCACGATTTCAGTGCCAACACATTCACAATGCCACTGAGGTGAGGAAAAAACACAGGGTGTGTCAATTTGAAACCTGACCTTGAAGTATTTAGTATTATAACCAAGAGCACTCAGATTCTGCGCTCAGGTGCCTTGTCCCCTTAGGTACTTGAGCATAGCCATCCTTATCTTGTGGTTTGAATGCCAGAGAGAAATGTTCAACCAGTAGATTTGAGCCAGCACTCTGAAACAGATGCACAGAATAGAGAAAAAGAGTACTTTCTCAAAATATTAACATGAGACTCAGACTAATTACCCTCCCCGCCGCCCCCCGTCTCTCTTTGAGACAGGATTTCCTGAAACTCTCTCTTGTAGGCCAGACTGATCTTGAACTCGCAGAGATCTTCTTATGTCTGACTCCTGATTGCTGGGATTAAAGGCTTGCACCACTGCCAGCGTTGTTTGTTTGTTTGTGTCTTGTTGTTTGTTTGTTTAAAGAATACACATTTTACTGTGGTTATTACGGGTTTTAATGGAAAAATTCCTTTATTTCTTGGCAAATGGCAGTATTTCAAGTCCTTTTTACCCTGCGATTTATTCACTTTTTAAAAATGAATTGTTTATTTTTTTATTTTATGAACATTTGTGTTTCGCCTGCGTGTGTGAGGGTGTTGGATCCCCCAGACAGTTTTGAGCTACCCTGTGGGTATTAGGAATTGAACCCAGGTCCTCCCAAAGAGCAGTCACTGAGTCAATTCTTCAGCCCTCTCTTGTGGGATTTGATGGCTTGTTGGGCCCAGATATATCATCCATTGGTGTCCATGAGATACTTCTGGAACTTGATTACGGTTTTAAAATTTCTATCTTTTTTCATTAAACAGGATAAATGTTATTTCCTTTAGTATAACTGAAGCACTCCAATGAGTATCCCTCCAAGGATCTCAAAAAGAAACAAATAAATGAGCCTTTGAAATTAGATTGAAAATAGGTTATGGACATAACTCAGTTGGTAGCATACTTGTCTAGCAAGCACAAGGTCCTGGATTGGATCCTGTACCTCCAGTAAAGAGTACAACCTGGGTATGAGAAGTGCTGGCAAGTGGAGCAGTTGATCAGGGATGCAGGATCATTCTTGAGCTTGTAGAGTCAAGGCCATCCTGGAAATCAAGAGAGTCTTCAAAACAGCATGGAAGAGGAAGAGCAGGAGAGGGGGGAGAAGAGGAGAGAAAGATGAGGAATAGAAGCTGTGCTTTGGTCCTTTTAGAGATAGTGGATTGCTTTGGAGATACTTGCCTTTTGCTTATAGGCAACATCACTGCTGAAATGCATTCAATGCATTGTTTTCAAGAAGTTTTTGTTATAGAAAATACTCTCTTTCCACAGATTTTTCATACAACTTCCTTTTTCTGAATTTCTTTTTGGAAGGATAAATAATCTAGTTGACTGTTTTTAACATTTGATCGCTACGTCAGCACACAGTTGGCTAGGGAAAAAAGGAGGCTGTAAAGCTTACTTACTTTATACTTTATCAACACCACAAGGTTGAAGCATAAAATAGAAAGCAAAAAGGCATAAAACCACAGATTTGGTGTTATTGTCCTACACTTTGTGAATTCTCTAAAACAAACCATGGTTTAGCCAGTAATGGGAATGAAACATTAGACCTCTTACCTCATTAGAATTCTGGCTAGCTTCTCCTCCTTTGTCTTCCATTATTGGCTAGTGCTGACATTCAACAGTTTAGATCCACTAGAAAGGTGACTGACACCTCAGCTTTTATATCTCATATTTATTTTTCTTTTCTTATAAATTCATGTTAGCTAATAATGTTAATTGTCAACTATTTGTAGAATATTCTTGTATGTGCTGTGCTTGTAATACACTCCAACCTCTGCTCTAATCTTTGGCTTCATTTAGCTGTGTGAACATGGTTTTGAAATAGTCTACATTAAGATTATAAAGATATAAACTTAATACTTGATACATTGACCTGAAATAGTAATAATATCACTAGTTCATTGGTCCTGTTTATCCTATCATTCAAATAATTACTATACATGAAAAAAGAATAAAAATAAATACACAGACTGATTTAAAA